ATAAATAGTAGGTTACTCTTCTTCTTTAAAATGCCAGAAATACAAAAGTTGAGTTTGTTTTCTTTCTGTTTCAGTAGTGAATTAATAAATCAGATCGATATTATTGAAAAGATTCAAATAGTACATAGGACTATTTAATCGAACAAGAAAAGAAAAAGAAATTTTAACATTTTCCTAATAAAATAAAAACTATAAGTTTACGAGTTAAAAGTCGTTTTTCCATTTTAGAATAACTAACTCGTGTCTCATCTATTGTGAAATTGTGTGTCATACGTTGTAGTATGTCATCATAAATTATCATGCGAATATCATTTGGTGAACATGTTTTCGCATCGAATAAAAATTATTCATCATAATCATCATGGATGCGAAGAAGACATAGTACAGTAAGATGAGGATATTTAATGATTGAAAAATTCTGGTTGTCGTCGTTTGTCTTTTGATGTTGTGCCTCGAAATTAATTACAGTTAATTCTTTGAGAAATAGAAATGTTTGAGGAGAGTCAAATGAAAAATTCATGTTCAAAAGGGTATTCGTCAAATAATGATTCAGTATGTAGGGATACGAATAAATATGACATTAGCCACTTTGCTCTTTTGAAAAATAGTCAACACAAGAAATAATTTCTAAGTCTCCGAAATTTATCAATGTACGTTGAATATCTTGATTTCTTGGTAGATGTACTTAACCGTGAAATATAATCAATCAGGAAATATTAGATACGAATTCGTTAAACTGCGACATATAATTAACAGTATTTTTTCTGAGGTTATTACCATCGACAACGATATACAAAGCTAATTTTTTTATATTCGACATTCGTTGCAGATGTTGCAAGATCATCTCATCATAAACAAATATTTCATTATAGCAGGTCAACGAAAAATATTTTAAATTACATAAATTAATCGTGTTTGTCTAAATTTGCGTGCGGAAATAAACAATGTTTGTAGTTGATTCAAATGACCGCCGAGTAAATAAAAACAGTAGCCGAAAAAATAGACATTAATGCGCAATTCTACCAGCCTTGAACAAGAAGACCTTAGAAACTGATGACAAAATGATATATGTGTTTCAAAAATTTGATGATTGAAAGAACTTTAAATGAAGCAGATTGGTGAACATAAGCAGGATAGTTGAAAATACGTTTCCTCAGATATTGGTTGCACATCACTCGTGTATGATTTGTTTACTGCTGATAGGCAGTGTCACAATCTGTTTTTGTAGAGATGAACTACATAAGATTTATCTAAATATAAAATCATTGAAAAAACATATGCTTAAGAATTCTTGCGTTTCTTCTCTGCACGATGTTTAGGTATATTTATTCCTTCGCATTTTCGAAAATATTTATCTACATCCAAATGAAATATCCATACCGACTGAAAATCTGCCACTGACGCGCCACGGTATTCGAAAAATTCTTCGAAAATCCTTGCTGTTGCAGTTCTTAATTAGCATTGTTAGTTCCATTTCATTGAAATCCTTGAGCTCAATTTTCTCGTTCGAGAACTTGAAATACCGATTGAAGAAATAAAAATGACTCTAAAATCATCATATTCATCATTATTCTATACGTGCATGTCTAGCGAAATGCAATGCTTAACCTAAAACTGGTGATGATCATCATTGTTCCATCCTTCGTTCCATCTCCTCTTTTCCCGATAGTCTCTCTAGAACGACCAAACTAGATTGTTTTATCAGTGGCTCCCTCTAAAATCATTATGAGCAGAAAGGTTTTATGTCCCAAAGTAATACTCAATTACTTGCACGAATAAATTACATAAAGTTTATGGTGGTAGTGTACAAAATGCCATGATATTTGTCAAAATACCTGTTCACAATTCAAACATATTTACATGAAGTAATAACTAATTAGTATTGATTTATGAGTAAAGGGAATGAAATAAAATTTATTTATATATTCAAGAATAAAAGATATACAATATTAAATGGATGATGTGCCCTAAAAAATATTTGTTTTGAGAGAAATAAATATGAGTATCATTTTTAGTACACGAACAACAAAACAAAACAACATGGAAGGAGAAAAACGAGAGAGAGAGAAAAACGAAAAGCAAAAAAAAATAATGCAAGAGGGTCGTCATGATGGTTATGCATAACGATGGAATGAAGAAATATGTTTATTTTATTTTATTTGTTTTGCTTGATGACAATGATTGACTATTATATAAGTGTACGAATAAATCGTTTTATAACTGCTTTTGAAGTATCTGCTTCCTTTGTAGACCCATCATCTTCATTTTTTGGCGCCACTGTTGAGCTAACTGGAACAGGTGCAGTTGTTGCTGTTGTTTTTGGTCGAAATTTACGACGTTTTGATGTTAATTTTTCTCCACCTGGTATAGCCATTGAACCACCGGCTACTTTAGGCAATTCATCACTTATCGATGGAATAGATGTTGTTACATCAGCAGATGGAAGAGCAGGTGCAACTGCTTTAACTTTCGAATAGATCCATGCTAAATGAATAAATAATTAATGATATTCATATTTTTAAAACTATATAACTATCAAAAGCCAACGACAGACATGCAATTCAACAACGATAGTATCATGGTAATAAATAAAATAATTTAACCAAGACAACATAAGTTTTTTACCTATTACCACGATGGCAAGAATAGTGCCTATTATTCCCATAATAATCATCATCTAATCATTCCCATTAGAAAAAAAATAATAATTTATTTCATCAAAGATAATAAGCAGAGAAAAACTTTTCTATACTTATAATCTTTTCATATTTACCTTCATATTCTTCAACCAAAATTTTCGTTTTAATTTTCCTGCATGTTGTTCAAATTGAGCTGCATTATGTTGTAATTTATCTTCGAAAACAATAAATAAATAATTATTAATTTTCTTTTTTTTTTCAATATACCAGCTCGATCATCGAGAAGTGACAAGTTTTTGTCACGTTCTAACACCTTATCAACATTTTGTCTCATTATATCCACAACTTCATCGACTTGTGCCTGTTGTTGAGCTAGACGTTTTGAACCACCACCACCACCAGCTGGTGTTGATGCACCACCACCGTTAGTTGACCTATTTAACAAACCAGAACTATTAAACAGAAACATTTCTTTCTTAATGAAGTATTTACATATTATACAATGAGCCGACTTAACAATATATTAATTTAAAAATCTAAAAAAAGCCGAAGCTTTCATATAGAAAAATATTATTTCAAATTGAAGATTATTTGTTTTCTTTTTTGTGTATAAGATCATTTCAGCAATAGAATACATAAGAATGTTTGAAAGAAAGCAAGAAATATAAAAATATATTATAAAAGACATGGATAAATAGGACGGTTTTCGCTTTTGAAGAAAAGAAAAAAAAAATAAGCACACGACAATCCAGACTCTTGACACATTGAAAAATATCATTGAGAAAGATCATTCTAAAATAAATAAATAAAACCTTTCATTTCGAAATCATTCTAAAACAGCTTCAAATGATATTCTTATAACACTGATAAAAAAAGCAATACATTTACTTTAAAAAATTCAACTGAAGGAAGTTTAAAAATCACAAGAATGTTCTCGTTTAGTCTTAATATTTTACACCCATGCAGATCACTGAAGTAACTATTTAGATTATCAATTACAAAAACCAAACGATGCATAAAATACCAAAGCTTCAAAAACATGTTTTAGAGTAAATTTTATCAGCTATAGATATATTAGTAAAACGAAAAAATAAGAAAATATTTCTTTGTCTTTAAGAAGCAGAGATCTTTCAAACTCGTTGTATTATGTAGATTATTGAAGTGGTCTAAATAATGATTAATGTCAGTTTCGAAAGTTCTACGATACCTTGATAAATTACAGAGAATAAAGTGCAAAATGAATCGCATTGCCATTCTTTGTCAAACAAAGGATAATCAAGAATAAATTTAATGCAAGTATTGTAATCTTTATCATATATTTAATATACATAAAATGTTTTCAGTTATTATTCAATACTTCAAAGAAAAATAGGCTATTATTTAACAATATGTGTCAAAAACACCTGTATTATTTTAAAATTAGGTTTTTTCTTTTTATATATTCATTTTATCCTTTTTCTTTCTATATTACTTCAACACCATGGGATATAAGCTGCTGTTTTTACCCATGTTAATAATGTTCTGAAAGAAAACAAATTAAAAGTTTCTCATATTATTCAATTATGCTTTTCTATCACATAATCACTGAAGTACCTAAGTATCGTACATCAACAACAGGACATCTGGTGAGTCTGACAATACTATTGACATATTAGATAGGCAAATACTCTATTTATAAGATTATTTTGTCAGTATATCATCTGAAATCATTATGAGGAGAGTAAAGGGTTAAGATCTATTCATAAACAAATTTGACTTAACCATGTCATAAAATACGAGAAAACATTTTCAAGCGTCTAATTGCTTTTGAGTCGAGACTTTGTGCATCATGCAGATCTTAAAGAGTTATGAATACTCTGAAAAAAACTCGAGCTATTAGTTTATCGTCGCCGAGATATTATATTTTTAGCACAATTCCGTGATCCCCTTAGGAATACTACGGAAAACTAAATTTTGAATATCCCATTGAAACTTTATACAAAGAAAGTTCTTAACGAGTATAGTTCAATTGTATAAGCTTCAGACCATTTTGTTTTTTTTCTATCTTAAGACATGACTATGATAAATGTACGTTTTCTTTTCATGTTGTTCGTAAACACAGAAACAATTCCAATGTTCTTATTTCAGAATACGAGAAATAAAAAAAATTGAAACTTTCATAATAAACTATTCTTATTATGATTTCTCTCAGGGTATTCATACCTTATTAGGACCTACATGATACATAGACTTTCAACTCAAGAGCAATTTGACACTACGAGATATTCTCCTCATTAGAAGTCTGTCTGATTAGAAATTTTTGTGCTAACATCATAAAAATTCTTTATCTTGCTTACCGTATTAATTAGATTTCATATTGAGTTATTTTCCACTGGTAGTATTTTGATTACTGTTATTATTATTATTGTTGTTGTTGCCTTTTACTGATTGTGTAACAGCAACTAAAACATAAAAAAAATATATTTTTTTAAATTTAATTAATCTTTCATTTCTTACCGACAATGACAATAATCAAAACGATCTTAAACAAAACAAAAAAGCAAGTACATAAATTAAAATTTCACGGAAAGCAACAACTACTTACAATAATAATGATTAAAATAGTCCACATCTAAATATATCAACAAAACAAAATTAATTGCTATTAAATATATTTTTTAAAGTATTTTTATAGTTCGTGTTCCGTCGCGACATTATTCATATAGCAGGTGTTTCACCAGGTCATATTATAATATTAAATGATGACACATCAGCTATAGAAATACATATTATGAATGCAAAAGTACGTGATGATCTCCTCCCTTCAGAATATATTAGTTACTATGCATTTCTACATTTCTGATGGTCATATCTACTATAGTAATACTAAAACTACTTTGTACGTATAAATAACTTACTTTAATATTTTTCCACCAATATTTTTTTTTTAAATTTCTTGCGTTTATTGTAAATTGTGATGCCCCACGTTCTAAATCATCTAAAATGAAATGATTATTAAGTTTAGAATGATAGTTATTTTCTATTTAACCTACTAGTTCGACTTTCAACTACAGCTAAATTAGCATCACGTTCAAGTACTTTTTCAAGATTATCTTTCATAATACCAACAACCTATCAAAAATAGAATATTTTTCTTAGAGTAAGTTAAATTAATTTTGTTTTTTTTATACTTGATTAACATCAGCTTGAAGATTATCCATGCGTTTTGGTGTTTCATATTGTGTAGCACGAGGTGGATTTTCATATGGTGATGTCCTAATAAACAATAACAAAAAATTCTTAATTAAAAATCATTGAAAATTATTTACATTGTTTATTTAATTTTCTTCTGATCACAGTCAATGAATAAATCTGAAAGAAAAATAGTAAATATGTCAAAATCAAACATTTATATAATTAATAACTACAAATAACGCCATATTGGCCTTGTTGTCATATCTTCCTGCATAATAGGAGACTTTTATACTTTTGAGATACTAGCGACAAACAGAACAATCTATTGATGAGAAAGATTTTTACAAGTTCAATGGAGACTGTTAACCAATCATTGAAATGAACGAGTAGTATCGTTTGTCGCTACGATTCTTAAATGAACAAATGTACTACTCTCTCTCTCTCTTTATATATATAGAATATTTTAAAAGAAAAAGTGAGTATCATATTAGTCATAGAAAATAATAAAAAAAATAGTCTGCGTCATTTCTTCTGAATTAGTTTTCTTTGTCGCCGAAAAGTCAACCTTTAAGTGACTTTTTTTTATGAATCATAAATTTTTTCTAAAAATATTAGTATTGATATTCGCTTTAGTTTTTATTTCAGCTATCTAAATTTATCTGATAACGAATAGATAAAATTTTTAAATATTGAATCATTTGATGATTTTTTTTGTTTATTTTTTTAGATAGTTCATCAAATGATTTCATTGGTAACCCATAACGCTGGCATACCCTACGATACTCATAAGAACAGATGGTATATAGATAGTAGATTGCCGGTCAGATAACTATTGGTATACCGCACTCTGGAGATAGTCATCCGTTTAAGGATAGTTCCTCTTGCCCTTTTTTCGAGGTTACCTGAGAACAGTTCATCAGAAAAATTTGAAATTTTAAGAACACGTAGATTTTGACGAGTTGAGCAAAAGTTGTCATAGACCTAAAGTTCTCGGATGATATTTTCTATGAGATACTAGAGTCACAATGGTGAAAATATGTCTCCTTCATTTCTTCGAGATGCTATGTTCGATTGAGCTGAAAATAACTTTTTCTAAGTATTAGACACTGTTTTGAGTGTGTAACTTTTTTGGTTTCTTTGTATTTTTTGTCCTTCGGATAAAAAAAGCCAAAATATCAAAGGTACTTTAAAAAACGCATGTTTTTTTTTAAATTGAGCTTCTTTTGTAAGAGATATCAAATATCAGCAGAACAATAAAAAAAATGTCCATATCGAACAGTGCCGAGTATATGTGAAAAAAGTTTCAGTTCTATCGAACATACAAGATCGAAGAAACGAGAACGTTTCTGTACTTGTTTTTTTCGTGAAAAAAGTTGGTTCTAGAAATTTACATGGGAAATTAATATCTGAATAAAATTTAAACGAAATATTTGTCATTGATTGTTGAATTTAAAGAAATGATTTTTTTTCCGATACATTTAATCTTTTCTGTTGTAAATTACCATTTTTTTTTTATTAATAAATTAGAATTCGATTGCAACCTTGTCATTTTAAAGAAAAAAAGTATACCAATCGATTCTTTTGAGATAAAAATTTTAGTACCAGATATTTCAATAGGAATATATACATGCAGAAAAAGAAATAAAGTCTTAAAGATTGCTTCGAAATAAGTATGCATTAGTTCTCGTTAGAGATCCGAAATTCTAAAATTACCGTAGTTGTTAAATCATCAGATGCATTCAAAACAATTTTCAAACCTATTTTTAATGAATAGTCTTGAGACTAAAGATTCCGATATATATGCATTGTGGTAATGAAGCACAAGAGTCAGTTTATGACTGATAAAATGGTACTGGTGCATATATACTTCGAAAATATTCTAAATGGAATACGAAGTATCATTAATCGATAAATTAATCTGGAAATACTTTTTTTTTACGCTTGAAAAAAAAACAGAATAAGGAGAGACATGTATGAGTATTGTTTACTATAGATAAGAATAGTCTTTGATAAAATACAAGAAAAAAGAAAAGAATAGATAATTGTTTGATCGTTAGTATAAGATAATGGTACTAGTTCACTTTAGACATAATAGAGAACAGGAAAGAAAATGCATTAGTCGAAAAATGTAACCAACGAGAACGGGTGAAAAGAAAAAAGATATAGAAATGATCAAAATTTGATAAATGATGACGATAGATGACAGTGGCAAGCGATGAAAGGAATCAAAATTGATAAACTCTATCTAAAGTATATCACTGTCATCTATCGTTATCATTTATCAAATTTTGATCATTTCTATATCTTTTTTCTTTTCACCCGTTCTCGTTGGTTACATTTTTCGACTAATACATTTTCTTTCCTGTTCTCTATTATGTTTAAAGTGAACTAGTACTATTTTATTTAATATTTCTAGATAAAAAAACACTTCTACTAATATATATGGATCGACGTGTTTTATGCGATAGTTTAATTAAATGGGTATGAAAAATTAATTTCAATATATATATATTAACTTGTTATGTATTTTGTGTATAGATGAAAACATTTGATCTAAATCGCCCAATAAATGGAGTTGGTGATCTATCTGACGGTGTTCTTATAGCTATGTGTTTGAAAAATATGTTCGTTATGATGTTATTATTTTTCTATTTTATATTAAAAAAAATTTTTTTTTCTTCTTCTAGTGATGTAAATCATTTTAATGATGTTTGGTTACAAAAAATTCGAACTGATGCTGGAGATAATTATCGAATAAAAGTAACGAGTGGTCTATAAAATAAACGGATCCAAATTTTTTTTCTCTTTGATTTCATCATACTATCCAATACATTGAAGAATCTGTTTTAGACTTATTCGATAGAAAGTTTTTTTTTCTTCGGACATCTATCGTTTTATATAAATCTGTACTCATCAAGTTCAATGGTGTGCGAAGTATTCAGCATCATTAAATACAGAATTTTCTGCTCTATGCTTCTGAGACTTTTTCAAGGCTCTGAGTAGATTTGTTTGCGTGCGAAAGACTTCGAACTGACACCTGCTGATACTGTGTGTTAAAAAGTTAACTGCCCTCTATGAATGGTTTATTATTATGTCATATGATGCGCATTTCAATCCTAAATAAAATGATATAACACTAAAATAGAACAATATAAAACTTGAGAATATTTCGAAACATCTCAAAATTTTATGCAGTATGTTGTAATTTTGACAGAATTGATCTATTTATTGACAGCCGCAATTGGATGTCTAATGAAGAAAACATTTGAAGTTTTACTCAATTTTTGATTTAGCTTTAGATACATACTGAAAAGTAAAAAAAAAACAGAATTTCAATGATATAGAGGTCGAATGACCTGTAGAATATTCTATTGTAGTAGAGATCTTCAACTTCTAAAAAAATTGTCGGTTGTTACGAAAATCGAACTTACTGAAAAACTCAACATTTCAACATTGAAATTCTATTTTTTTTTAATTTTTGGTGTCTTCAAGCTCGTTCAAAATTTCAGTAGAATGACCATAATTCGGCTCTAAAACCCTATGGTGACGAACGTTTGTAGGCTTCTGCTAGTCTTATCAAGATGTTCTTGTGAGCTCAAATGGCAGGTATCCCTCCGAATGATTTTCTGGTGAGTGCTTGTCAATCTTTTCGATTTTTCACCCATAGGAAAAACTCAAGATTCTTCAATATCTTGAAAAGTATTCTAAACAGAGGAAAACGTTTTGATCCGTTCATTATGAACTACCCGTTATTATTGTATATTTTAAATTTAGGCAAATAATCTTAAAAAAATCCTGAAGAATATAACCGATTATTATTCTGAAGTAATATTTTGTTTTTTTTTCGAAAAAAAAAATTTTCATTTATTTATTTATCTTAAGATACTTGGTCAATCTCTTGTTGATTTTCAAATGCCTGATCTTAATATGATAGGTAATTATTTACTAAAAGTTTTCTTTTTTTTTTATTGCTTAGTTAATATAGCTGAAAGTACTGATGAAACAGAACTTAGTCGACTATTACAACTTGTTCTTGGTTGTGCTGTTAGTTGTGATCGAAAACAATATTATATTGAACATATTATGCTATTGGAAGAATCTGTTCAACATGTTTTAATGAATGCTATTCAAGAGGTAGTTAAGATTAAAAAAAACAACCTAATAAAATATTTATTAAATATTTTTCTTCTAGTTAATGGTAAAAGAAATTCGAAAAAATAATGAAGAATATTCTGAATTAGGTGATCAAGTAAATAAATTTGAATTTTTCTATGCTAAATAAAAGAAAATAAATTATTATTCATTTGTTTTATTTAGTTAAAACATGCATTAGAAGAACTTAATCGTGTTGTTGAAGCTAAAGAAGAAATTGAACATCGTTGTCGTGAACTTGATTTACAAATATCTACACTTCAAGATGATAAACTTGGCTTAATACAAGAAACATCACGTTTAAATGAACGTTTACAACAATATGAAAATGCTGAAGATGGAGAGTAAATATAAATGAATTTAAAACTTTTCAAATAGTTTTGTTTTTCTTCTAATTTAAGATCAATTCCAAGAAGTCGTTATAAAACTTTACAAGAACGAATTCAATCTCAACAAGAAGAAATATTTAAACTTGAAACAAGTAATCATATAAATTCATTATTGAACTAATGCATAACCATAATCACTCAACGAAAGTAAAATCTAGTTCACCAGCATTTTCCGCATCGAGACCTTTTCCCGTGTGGAGACGGATGTTTTCACCTAAGCCACACCCACATGGAGGTAGTCAACTATTAATATTTCTGGGTTATCATATATACGGCAAAATCTCCTGATTGACATTTAATTCCATTAGAAGTAACTGCTTAAAATAGAGTCAAGGACAGTTACGCACGAACTCTTATGCTGGCGAAGGATGTGAATTCTCTCTTCTCCTATCTAAATGTTAAAACAACACAAGAAATTAATTTATTCTATCATTGTATTTTTATTATTTTCTTCAAAATTCTTATAGAAGCTTGCATAGCAAGTAAATGTCCTAGCAATTAACTATCTATTTTCCGTTTGAATAGAGATTTGAATTTTTTTTTCTAATGATTGAATTTAATATTTTAGCTTTACAAGATTATCGAGCTAAACTTGATGTATTACGTGAAGATAATGAAAGTCTTCTAAAACGAGTAAATATTCAACAAAGAAAATAATTCTTAACATAAAACATCTAATTATTTAGAATGATGATTTAATGGTACTTGCTGGTGATGCACGAAATTTTAAAGATGAATTAGATATATTAAGAAATAAATGTGAAAAAATGGTTCGTCTAAAAATTTGTTTTTTCTTTTTTCTTGAGTATTTCTTTCAATTTGAAACTTTTTTCTTTTAAAGACTAAATTAGAATCAACTATTGATGCATATAAAATAAAATTAGAAGAAATGTCTGATCTCCGACAACAAATAAAATATTTAGAAGAAACAAATTTACGTTTATTTGATGAAAAAGCTAATTTAGAACAAGAATATAAACAAGCTAAATTATTACAAACACAAGTTGAATTTCATAAACGAACAAATCAAGAATTATATCAAAAAATAAGTGAATTACAACGAATAGCTGATAAAGCTGAATTTGAAAAAAATCGAGCTGAAGAACGTTTAAATGCAATTACTGCAGAAAAAAATGTTCGTAAACATTTATTTAAAACAAAAAAGAAAACTAAAACTTTTGTTTCTTTATAGAATTTAACAAATCAAATTGAATTATTAAGAGAAACAAATGAAAAGCTTAGTGGTGTAAATTTAGATGAAGGTTAATCATCAAATTAAATATAAAATTTATCCTTTCGTTTTTTTTTCATGTAGCTGATGGAGCAACTAATTCAAACGATCAATTAACTGGATCTTTAGAAGATCTTAATTTTCTTAATTTACCAGCTGATGTCAGGTAAAAAGAAAAGTTTATCAAATCAAATGATGATTGTAAATAGGCTATGAGTCTAGAATAAGGTGCAGCTTTACTCTTCATCCTCGCCGACCTTTTTCGCGTGAACAATGCATAGTCAAAAAAGATGCAAATATCAAATTATCGAAAAGTTATATGACAAAATTGTACATTCGTTTTTCAGCCTTCGTAATAGTTTGAATTGAAAAAAGGAGTTTGAGTCAAATTTGAAGAAGCTCGAAAATTAAATTTGAATGGAGAAAATTAGTTTCTTTTACTGCACACGTTATATTACCGATTATTTTTATGCATAGAATTAAAGGCGACAGTGTTTCTTATAAAGTAATAGAAAAATTGAGATTTTTAGGAGTGCATTGTGCAATTCTATTTTTCATAGAAATTTACTTGAATACCTTACTGAAATATTCACTGTTGACAAAATGATTTGCGGCAAACTAATCCATTAGTATAACATTCGTTCGCTGTATTTGAAATTAGTTTTGCTTTTAATTTGGATAACTTCTGACCTGTAGAAGTTTGTCTCTCAACTTAATTTATAGACCTCGAAAAGAACACCAAATTTGGATTCTCATGCAATGTTTTTAAAATTTCTATACGATCCTTCAAGAGACTGAAAAATGAAGAAATATTTTGTCAAATTACTTTTCAATAAAATTCCAGAAAAAAACCACTATATAGTATTTTCATTTTTAGTGACTTTAATTTATAGAATTATAAATATATTCAAGAAATAAAATTTCGATACACTTGCCTATTATAGACCAAAAAAATATTTTGATCGTGTAATTTATTCAAAAGATTTGCATGAACAAATTGGATGTAAATTGGTCAAGGTCGGCATTAAATTTAAAATTTGCGTGACACATAGACGAGCTAAGAGTTATTTTTGTTATATTTATCGATTTCTTCTGATTGGTATTTTCCTATGGGAATACATGAAAAAGAATATTCTCATAAGTAATCATCATTCTGAACTCTGGACTTTATTTCTAAATGAATAGTGTCCATCAAAAACAACATGTTTTGCTTTGAATAAATTTATATTTCAAGAATTAATAGATGTTTTAATTAATAAATTGTTTTTCTAACGAAAACTAATAGATTGTCTCTTACCAAACATAGTAATTTCGAATAGAAGTACTTCGGCCTTCATAAAATGATTTTCCAATAAAAGAGACTTTGCAAACTAATAAATTTTTCGCGAAAATCTGCTTTTTTTAATTTGTCCAGGCTATAGAAAATATTCAACTATCTAAAAAACAATAACTGTTTCAATTTCAATTCGATTTCTTTTTGGTGGAAAATACGACCATTTTAACTTATATATCACATTTTATTGGAAGTTTATTGATTTAAAATGGAAGCAGTTATAGTTTTGTAGGTAATTTGATACGCTCTTTAATTTGGATAAAAATTTCTATGAGTCTGGAAAAACGATCTATATGGATTTATGATTGATAACCTACAATTCAGTAGCTTTCGTTTAAAAAATAATTGATTAGCTTATAAGACGAATGAATTTTTTTATTGCAGTTACTATTGTTGTATTAGATTCTGATTTCATTTATTATTCCTTATACGAAATGATTCAATTCATTATATTCGATTGAATTCAAATGTTAATCTATGATTTATTTTTACGGATTTTATTATTTAATAACACAAATTGTTTAATTTTAGAGAACGTTTTATTCGTCTGCAACATGAAAATAAAATGCTCAAATTACGTCAAACTGAAGAGACAAATAATGAACAAATATTAATACTTCAAGCAAGCTGTGAACAACTTAAAGATCAAAACAATCAATTAACTAATGACCTTTGGTAAATAAATCATCTATTATGTATTATCCAAGAAGACATATACCGAAAAATTATTTACATATTTCAATTATATCAGCTAAATTTTTTCGAAGATTGAAAATCAGAATTTTATTTTTATTAGTGAAATTCGAAATTCGTGCTTAAAACGTTCAATTTTGACAGAAATTCTGGAAGCTAAAATATTTTAATGCAATATCGATTTATAGGATCTAAAAACTTGTATACAAACTATTATCGCCGCGAAAATATAATAAATGTGAATGTCATTTTTAATATCGTCGGAATAACAAACTCTAGCAATATGTGGTTTTTAATATTCGAAAGAGAAATATGCGGGAAGTATAGCAATGTTAGAATCATTAGATTTTCGAATGGTTAAGGGATCTCTGAGTAATCTCGATATTTGAACTTTCGAAATTAAAAATTTTCCTAACATATTGTGTGAAGCGTCAAGATTTCGAAAATCTGAATACAGTCATTTTTGATCGTTTGAAAAATGAAAAGAAACACCACCATTGAGTTCAACTTGGTGAATTCTTCCAGTCTTGCAATATTTGGAATGATCCAAGACCAATAGACGGAAACTCGAAGCCTCTGAAAAACTTTTATAACCGTTGAGTAAAATAAGTTTTGTTGTTTCGGAGATATTAAAAATGGCATTCACGCTCCTTACATTTTAGCGACAGAATAAAACATGACAAATTGGACATCGAGAGTAACCTAACACATACATTACATATAAAAATTAGTTCTAGAAAAGTTCATTTATCTCGAGATAAACATGCTATAATTTCACGAAGTCACGTCACTAGCTTTTTTTGTGTCTTAGGATGTCAAATCGAAAAATTCTTGAATTAGAAGCAACACTTAAAGATACAACATCTTTAGCTGAAAATAGTACTGAAATAGCTGATCTTAAAAAATCACTTAATCGAGCAATGACACGTCATGAAGAAGAATCAACACGAACAAAAAATCAAATAGATGAATTACAAAAACGATTAGATAATGCGGGTAAATAACAAAAAATAACAAAAAAAATAATAATATTCGTACATATTAATAATTTGTTTAATTTAGAAAAAAGACTTAGTGAAAAAGATGTTATCATATCAACAAAAACAGCTGAAATAAATGCTATGGAAGAACGTTATGTACAATATCTAGAAAAAGCTAAAATGGTTTTGCGTCAAATGGATCCACGTAATAGTAATTCAATAAGTCATCAAGAAATTCAATTATTAAAAAAACAAATTGATGAAAAAGATCGACGATTTAAAGAACTTGAAGTATTTCTGTTTTTGCATCATTATATTTTTTTGTTTTATTCAAATACTTTATTTATATAGAAAGATTATGAAAAAATGAAAGCAATAAGAGAAGATCAAGAAAAATTATTAATTAGTGCTTGGTATTCATTGGTAAATTATTTTCTTTTCTCAATAAAAATTCAAATCATTTCGTTATATATTAGGGTAGTACATTTCAACGACGTGAATTTGAAGAACGTTTAAAATCCCATGAAAATCAATCATTTCTTGCTAAACAACGTACTATTCCAGCAACACGTAAACAATTACCATCTGATCCGTCCAATTCATCAACCAATGGAACAAATAAAACTTCAAAACGATAGTCTTTCAAAATAAAAAAAAATAAAACAAAAGCATTAAACAGTGACTATTAGTTCATAATATTAAACGTGTTTGTTCCTGGCATTTTTATTATCAGTATATGTAAATTTTATTTTAGAAGTGTGCACTTTACCTTTGTGTATATATTATTATTATAGTCCATCTTTTCATAATATAAAAATTTTTTTTTCGTTTTGTTTTGGGCATTAGAATAATGAAAATTATTTAAATTTATATTGAATACTTACAACAGTCATATGCAGAGTGTTTCATCAATTTGGAAACTTAAGCAGCAAAAAAAAGTGCTTCTTATATTAGTGAAAAATATACATCTTATCGGGAGAACTTCTGCTTCTCTGTCCATATAAAATAGGGATAGGTGTGTGTTCGAACGATCATTGTTCCTAGGGTACAGGCAATGTTCCTAATAAGAACAGCTATCTTGACTGTGCGAAGAATTTATTTTTTCATCCAGCAATTTTATATGAAAAAAACATATTTTTTAAAATTTTTGGGTGTAGAATTGTTTTCTGAATTGAATGATGCAAAAAACACTTTACTATCTCAAAAAATAAAAAAATAATTAGCGGTTATTTACGAAGAAATGAATTTGTTCTTATTAGGAGCGCTGGTCCTAATAAAAACAGTAAGCTGAAAAATGTTCCTAATAAGAACACTCAGCGTAGAACGAGATAAATTTTAAAAAAATCACTAAATAAACTTTTTCAC